AAAAGTTTGCGTTTTTTGTGTCCAACCTTCATGATTAATTAGTGTTCATTGCATTAGCTATTTGTTCACGTAACATCAATTTTTTTAAATATAGACTTATCAAAACTTGAATTAATGATGAATAATAGAGTAAACAAAAGAGCACTACACATAGATTCATATTATACATAACAATGATTAAGAATGATTGCAAATCATTTTGAGAATAATGCTAAGAATTTTGAATGTTTACACTCATTAGTGCATATACGATAGTCTCAAAATAGAGACGTAACTACAAATTATATTAGGTAAACAATGATCAAGTTTACAATCATGCTGCTTTGATTGTATCTACTTCTCATAGAGTCATGGTAAACCCAACGCCAATAGCTTCATCTTTTGTAGTGACATAGGATGAGGTTCCTTCACTTGAAGTTATTTTGTTGTTTCTTTCAAGCTCAAAAATCTGCATGGACACATGATAAAATTAAAGCTTAGTTCATATCTAATCTTTAAAATTAAGAATTATTAATTTTAAGGAAGGGTAGATACCGGAAAAAGAAGTCTTTAACTTTTGGAATAAACTTAGTAGCATGTAATGAAGAAGCTAATCCAATCTTACCACCCCTATATTGTAAAAATATACTTCGTATTTCATAACAGTAATCTCCTTAGGATGTCTGGTCACCATTTTTTCTTTCTGCAGCAAGGGATAAATAAGTACATTAACCTATCGGTGCATCATGACTTGATTGCTGGAAGTATAGTTTTTTGCTACATAAAAAATTATCTTTAACTAAAAAACAGCTTTATCGAGAGCTATTGCAATTGTGACAAAAATTTCCACACAAAAGAAACTAATGAAACCAAACACAACATGTCATTTAGCAATAAATGTATTATAGACATGAATACGGTTTAATTTAAATATGAAATTTAAAGTATTTAAAATATGTGATATTTTGAAATTGAAAATTGAAGTGAATTGAATACAAAAGATGTGAATATATTTGATCTGAGGAAGTAAGGATTCAAATCTACGTTATATCTTTCTTATTGGATGAAGTACTTATGTCTTGTGAATTTTAAATCTCACCTTGAGCACTAACAGTTTCCATCAACTATAGATTAGGCAATTTCTCATATTGTTATTAAGATGCTGAAAAAGAATAACTTAAAGCATTATATGAAAGTTTATATATCATAGTAAGTATTCTATTTGCTCCATTTGAAGATTGGTATACAATAAATAACTCTATTTGAATTTTAATTCCAGCATGCAGCATTACTAAAAAAAACTCCAGTATTTTTGTTTTTACTCCAGGGGGCGTTTGGGAGAGGGGGTCTGGGGGGGGTCTGGAGTAAACTGGGCTGAAACACACTCCATTGAGTTTCGAACACGAGACCTCCCATAAGGAAGAGTGAGTCGGCGACCAGTTGAGCTGGACCGCTTCCTAAAAAAACTTTATTTTAACTTATAGCTATAAAAAATACCTTATCTATAGTAATACCAATTCAAATGGAAAAGTTTATGTCAAAGAAAAAGTGTGTCTGCTCTCAGTGAGAGCTACCAAGGCCTGAGGTGTGGGCCATTAATGGCTTCAAACAACGAGGGTGATTTCCTCTACCAATGCAACTAAGAGAGACCGATGAAGCCTCTAGAGACACTAATATTATCACCAAACTATATACTTACAAATAAGCCCCCTAATTATTGCAAAATAGAGAACCAACATAAAACACCCTTCTTTCATTTTCACTTTTCATTCATCTTTCTTTTGTTTTTTTTGTTTAAGAAAGGAGCTATCAATATGAAGAATTAAAAAACAAAAAGGACGACTTAAAAACAAAACAAACTGCCATTAATATTTTTAGAAAAAACGTTAAGGAAATTTTCAAATTGATCTCTATTTGATGTGCATAGCTAGAAACTGTATTAAGCCGCCATTAAGGATGCCCGAGCAAACCCATATTAATAAAACTCAAACCTTAGAAAGGACATAGTTTTCCAATAATTCGTTTGACTTTATGATACAGAATGTAGAAATGTAAAATTGTTGTTGGATAACAAAGTAAAGTAAGCTAGAGTGGTCTACAATGGGTGACATAATTTAAACAGTTAAGATTATGTTGACTTTGAAATGAAGTCATCTAGAGGAGCAATACCTGTGTAGGTGAAGTGAACCCAAATCAAAGGACTGGACTGTGACTTTGCTTTTATGGCATAATTTTCTTTCTGAGACTCCAATAAAAGCATAGCAGGTTTAGTTGCAGTCAGGGTGTGTTTTTAATCTTTTTCATGAGTTTGATTCATGAGTCCCACATGATAAGAACTTTTGCCAGTACACCACCAACACATGCTCAAATTCCAGATTTCTCACTATCTATATCATGTCTATCTTGGATCAAAAGATAGTAAATCATATTAGTATAGAGAAATAGGCATTACAAATTTAAAGTATGAACGGAAGTGTAAAATCATAAACTAATCATAAAAAAATAATCTTACTCTAAATAAGCTAGATAATTTAGCCATAGAATTCTAAATAACTTCAAGTAACCTTTGTACTCTAATGGCCTGTTTGTTTGGGGGTTAACCTAGATTATTGAAGGTTCAATTTCTAATTAACCCCGTTTGTTGGTATTTTTGCTACAAGAACCTATGTTAGGTGTTAACCTCACTTAACTCCTAAGAACCTGGAAGAACCTTAAATTGAAGAACCTCCGAATCGGGGGGTTTTGGAGGTTAAGTTCTCGTTTAACATAAAATGAGCTAGAGTACCTTCATCCAAACAACATTTATTACATTAACCTAGATTCATCTTCTATATTTCCAAACACTATTTTACGTATGGACCTAGGTTCACGTAGGTTAACCTAGTTTTTATTGAAACTTAAGTTTACTTTATTGCACTAGGTTTACTTAACTTCAAACTATCCAAACAGAGCATAAGTGTTCTTATGAATATGTCACACACTTAGAGTCTTAGGGGTTTTGATGATATTTAGATAGCTGACTTACATATTTGCGCTCTAAAATTTTTATATAGTCAAAGACACATCATGACCTATTGTGTACATATTGTTAGAATGGTTTCCACTAAAACTGATCACCATTTGGCAATCTAAACACATAAGGAAGCAAATAGATAAGAATATTAGTGTTTTTCATATAAAATTTACTTACTATACACAAGCAAAGCTTCTTGTTTTAGAGCTACTGGTATATACTATCAAGACCTTATCTAAATATGACATTTAGTTCAAATATGATACTAACTTTTAGCAAATAAAATTTAGTCTAAATGGGACATAACTGAGTGGCTTTGAGATATTATGAGAATTTGAATGTCTTGGTGGTGCCTTGAAGACGCCAGAGAAGGTGAACTAGTCGTGGCTACCACCATACCCTGCACCTCTTCTCCTTGCAGCGACAGAAGCAAAGATATCGGTTAAAAAGAATTGCAACTGCTGAAGGAAAACTATCGGTACAAAAGAGCTTGGAAAGAAATCGAGAATAAAGAGGATTACATGAGGAAAACAAAAGATCGGTGATATAAGGAAAATATTGGAAGAAGGAAAGAGGAAAGTGAGAGGGCTAGAGATAGGTGATTAATAAGTGAACGGTCTAGATCATTTTAAAGTGAACGGTACAGATCAATTTGTGTTCCTGTCAAGTATAAAAGGATTTATGTGAAGTATATATAGTTAAACTATAGAAAGTTAAAGCCAAAAGTTTAAAGTAGGGTCATAGGAATCTAATTTGTTTTGTTATAGAGATTGGGCGGGGTTAAAAAAGATCTAAACTTGTACACTACAATATTGCATGAGTGAAAAATAAAAATTGCAAAATCCCAACTTTGGCCATTGAAGTATAGTTACCCAACATTTGCCCCAAAATTTGGGAACTAATTTTAGGAGTATAGTCTTATTATAAATTAGAATTAAAAGGGGGAAAATAGTCAGTAACATACTCCATAATAGTTAACGTTAAAATATAGGTCAACATTAAAAACTTGTAAACGGTTTTCCATAGATGCTCATTAATCTTATAGTGGTAAGCAGAAGCACCAATTTTGTTCCACCGTCATGTTTAGTTGACTAACTCCAATGAATGAAAAGTTATGCAGTCAAGAGGCATTTCATCTGCACATTATATAATAAAAGAATCCAGAGGTCATCAAATTAAAGTGCAATCATACACATATATTAAGGATTAGAGTACATTGTGATGCATTTAAGTAAATTCTCAATCTAGCATTTATATTATAAGCAATATAGAAAAGCAGATTTTTAATCGTGTAAATATACTACACACAAAAATCATAACCTAATATCAATAGGAAATCCAAGCATTAAAATTGCATATTAGGCTATAACCGAAGGATAAAAAGAAGAATCTTATTATTTCTATGATACTGCATTCTTGTTTTAAAATGATATAAATTGAACTAAATTGAATGAGCTTGTACTGCCATAGTAATGTCATATCAGAACCCATCCTATCAATTTATTCTACATCATAGTAATCTCATAACTTGATAGCCTTTTTATAACATAGCACTAAGATTCGATTCGTAAAGAAAATATTTGTTATCATCTAGTCCAAAAACTCATGCGAAAGATGATCCTTAAGATCTTTACTGCTCTTTTTGATCGATCCGATGAAGAATAAATGATATGAATAAATGAAAATCCAACTAAGAGGTATTATACGAAAATGGACCATGTGGACATATGGTCATATGGACAGGTAAACAAATAGACTATGAACAACATGAAAACATTTATAGTCCATGAATTCCAAGCATAAAATTGTATATAACAGCGAGTAATGGGATGATATCGATCTCATTCATTTATTGCAATAGGTTACCAAGAATAGTTCGTATTTTAATACTCAGTCACTTCTTTTTATTGTAAGCTATTGAAATCATGAGTACAACCTTAATACAGTGATAGCGTGAGGCAACGTGTCTTTGTCCCCATAAGCTTAGAGATGGTATCTCAATGTTCGACAGATCTCCACTTCCCTAACAAATTGAACTTTTGCTTTTGGTAAAGAATAAACAGCCTGAAAGTTTATAAAACTCTACAAAATATTCAAACTACTCCCAAAATGATTAACCAAAGTAAAAACCCTTAATTAAATACTCAAACACTCTGCATTCGCATACATGTTATGTTAATATATTTTTCTAGGCAGTATAGAACAAAATATATAAGGGTGAAATTGTCACGCCCCAGACCGCAATCCAAGCGCGTGTACAACCGCCGTATAATCAAGTGACGTCACCCGCGAGTCAACCTCACTTGATTACACAAGGCGTTCGAGAAAAATAATCCATCCATACTCAGTAGTAAACATACATAACAACATCACATTTAAACCAATGAATAGCGGAAATATTCAACGGTAAGTCATAAGCCACAACCGGCCAATAACATGGGCATGCAAGCCCCAAAAGAATAGTTTATAACAGATAAAAATATCCATGAGCAATGTTTGGAAATTTGAAATAAATGAGGAAGCACGAACCACGTCTTCCTTGATTTGATGTCACCCGTAAAAAGGTGCAGGTAGCAAGCCCTAGCTTCAACCTGAAAATGGTGGGGCCCCCCGAAGGGGTCAGTACAAGTACCGAGCGAGTAGCAGGCTAAATATAGAATAACTAGCGTTTCAAGTATAAGACCCAAACATAGGATGATACATATACGTATAGTCCTTCCCCCAAGTTTGAAATACATATTAGTATACATACACTTGGAAATACCCGACCCGTAGGTCATTGTTTATTTGGGAAAATAATAGTAGCCAATGTCCTTGACCTAAATCCCAACCCACCCATATACCTATGAGTGTATAGAACTCCTCCCTGTTCAAATAAATTATCATAAGGACACCGCCCGGTCCTAGATCATTAAATGTAATCTATGAGTTTTGAGGATACACGCCCGATCCTTGGGTACTCCACCCTATAACCGAGTTTTGAGGATACCGCCCGATCCTTGGGTACTCCACCCTATATAACCGAGTTTTGAGGATACCGCCCGATCCTTGGGTACTCCACCCTATATAACCGAGTTTTGAGGATAACCGCCCGATCCTTGGGTACTCCACCCGACCTATGACTTACCACATATCACGCTAGATAGGGTCTATATCATATTTAGTCATTCATAACTAATTCACTACATAAGGCTTATGCATCACAATCCATGCAAATCCATGCAACCATATAAATGTATAATTAACTAACATCAACCGATATTAATTAATCCATTAACCATCGGTCAACGTTGTTGTCGACCGCCATCTCAAATCTTACACTTATTAACTAATTCATCATATAATTAAGTTAATAATATCCATTTGTGCTTCTTTTACTCTTAAAGCAAATATGCATATATATATATATAATTTCTCATATTATATTCCATGCATAAATAATTAATTCCTTTCATACAAAGCTTAACCCTATTGGCTAATCACATGTTTAAATATCTTTTAAACATTATTATGAATTCATATAACATTTATTTAGGTAATCTCATAATTGACCCAAAAGTTATAAGATATTAAGCCGTCCACTCACCTTGAACTAGCGTATGAAGTTCTACCCTTCTTGGTTGAACTCCGGTGAAACTCCGGCGACAATTCCGGCGACTTTTCCAACTTTGTGAAATCACTTGAAACACCCTTTACAAGTTCCTAACAAGGTTTTATAATCATAAAACCCATGTTAATACCAATAACCTCAAAAAGGTTATTTTCCGGTGAACCGGTCGTTTTGGCTTCTAAGTCCGTTCTTGGACATAGAACCACCTTCCAACCCATAAATCCATACTTATAACATGTGGAATCATACTAAGGGTCCTTTACATGATATATACCTCATATGATAGAAGGAAAATAAAGGAAAAGTTATAATAAGGTTATTACCTTAATTTTACACACTTTTCCTAGCCTTTTTCCTTCTTTAATCCCACTCCTTGGACCCTTCTTGGTTGAGCTCGAGTTGCAGCAATGGAGGAGGGTTGGAGAGCTTTTTCTTCCTCTTTCTTGGGGTCTTGGGCGAGCACAATGAGGAGGAAGGAGGGGGGATGGGTTGTTTTTGTCTCATTTAGCTAATAAGTGAGAGAGGGACCCCTTGGGTGTCTCTCAATGTCTCACCCTCCCATCATGTGTACTATTGGCCTTCCTTTGGTCAATTTGAGCACACAAAAACGTGGGGTGGCCCCCACTCATGTGGGAGGTCATCCCTTTGTGTCCCGGTGTGTACAATTGGTCCCGAAAGTTGTATTTTTCGGACTGTTTTAAATATATTTTATTTTATCGGGTCAAATAAAATATATTATGTGCTCTTACTCATTATTACATGTATAATGAATATACATCCCCCAACTTTAATTTATAAGCCTCCGAAATTCAGTTCGGGCTGTTATCTGACAAATTATCGGTACCGGTAATTGGACCTCTTTTTCCCAATCGGTCAACTCTGCGCCTTTCCACGACCCAAATAAAGTATCCACCACTATATAAATATTATCTTGACTAAGATGAATAAAATATGTGGTCTCGGGAGTGTCGGGCGGCCCCCGCTCCCGGTGTGGGTCCCACGTGCAATTTACTATTCACGCGAAAGAAATAATAAAAATTTACAACTTCGTAAATTCGTTAATTCTTTAAGAAGGTTCAATACATTATTTACATAAAAGTAAATATATTTGGGGACGGTGTTACAAGTTCACCCCCCTTATTTGGGATTTCGTCCCCGAAATCCAAGTATTAATCGAAAAGAAATGGGTATTGCTCCCTCATCGAGACCTCGGTCTCCCAAGTTTCTTCTTCGACTCGATCACTCCTCCAAAGAACCTTTACCATAGGAATCTCTTTATTCCTAAGCTTCTTCACTTGTTGACCAACAATCTTCACTGGTTCCACCGCATATTGCAAGTCCTCACGGATCTCTACCGGTGGTTTCTCAAGAATATGAGACGGGTCTCGTATGTACTTCTTGAGCATTGATACATGAAACACGTCATGTATCTTCTCAAGTTCAGGCGTCAACTTGAGTCGGTAAGCCACGGCTCCGATCCTTTCAAGGATCTCAAACGGACCTATGTATCGGGGGTTAAGTTTCCCCCTCGATACGAATCGGATGATGCCCTTCCAAGGAGAAATCCTTAGGAAGACCTCATCACCGACTTCGAACTCCAACGGTCTCCGCCGTTTATCAGCATAACTCTTCTGTCGGTCCTGAGCGGCCTTCAGTCTATCCCGAATGGTCCTCACCTTGGCCTTGGTGATCTCAACCAGCTCTATCCCTTCGAGTTTGGCCTCGCCAACCTCGTCCCAACACAACGGTGTTCTGCACTTCCTCCCATACAATGCCTCATATGGAGGCATGCCGATACTTGCCTGATAACTGTTGTTATAGGCAAACTCCACTAGGGCTAAATGTTTGTCCCAACTTCCTTGGAACTCCAAAGCACATGCCCTAAGCATGTCTTCCAAAATCTGTATCACCCGCTCGGACTGTCCATCCGTTTGTGGGTGAAAAGCTGTGCTAAACTTCAGTTTGGTCCCCAAAGATGCTTGAAACTTTGGCCAAAACCGGGATGTGAATCGTGGATCCCTATCCGAGACAATGGATACTGGGACTCCATGTAATCTCACAATCTCCTCCGTGTATAGCTTGGCCAATCTTTCAAGAGGATAAGTAATGTTGATAGGCAGAAAGTGTGCACTCTTGGTGAGCCTATCGACCACTACCCATACTGCATCGTAGTTGTTCACTGTTCGTGGTAGCCCCACCACGAAGTCCATCGTCACGTGTTCCCACTTCCACTCTGGGATAGTAAGTGGTTGCAAAAGCCCTGCTGGGTGCTGATGCTCTGCCTTAACTTGTTGGCAAGTAAGGCATCGACTCACATACTCTGCGATGTCTCTCTTCATACCTGACCACCAGTAACCTTCCTTCAAATCTCGGTACATTTTTGTACCTCCTGGATGCATAGCATAAGCTGAAGAATGAGCCTCCTCAAGTATAGACTTCTGGAGGTCTTCATTCTTGGGTATGCACACACGATCCTTAAACAATAATAGACCGTCATCGCGTACTCGAAAGTTCTCAACAGGCCCCTCAATGATTCGTTCACGAATCTTCTGACACTCCTCGTCAATGGCCTGGCATCTACTGATCTCACCCAGCAATGTAGGTCTGACCTCAAACCTAGCAATGAGCGCCCCGCTCGTGGATACCCCCACGTGTGCCCTCAATGCCTGTAGACATGTGAGTAGCGTCCCCGACGTACTCTTTCTGCTCAGCGCGTCGGCCACTACATTGGCCTTTCCGGGATGATAGTCGATGATCAAGTCATAGTCCTTGATCAACTCCATCCATCTCCTCTGCCTCATATTCAACTCTTTCTGAGTGAATACATACTTCAAGCTCTTATGATCAGTATAAATGTGACACGTCTCCCCGTAGAGATAATGCCTCCAAATCTTCAATGCAAACACTACCGCCCCCAACTCTAGATCGTGAGTAGGGTAGTTCACCTCGTGTTTCCTCAATTGCCTAGAAGCGTAGGCTATCACCTTACCGTTTTGCATCAACACACATCCTAGCCCTCGGATGCTAGCATCGCTATAGATATCATACCCTATCCCCTGCTTGGGTAGGGCAAGAACTGGTGCCTCGGTAAGTCGCTTCTTCAATTCAAGAAACCCTTTCTCACATTTGTCATCCCATATGAACTTAGCCCCCTTCTTGGTGAGCTTCGTCAATGGAGACGCCAATACAGAGAATTTCTCAACGAACTTACGATAGTACCCCGCTAAGCCAAGGAAACTACGTATTTCTTTCACATTCTTGGGTCTCTCCCAGTCGATGATGGCTCTTATCTTGGCGTTGTCCACAGCAACGCCCGAACCTGATATGACATGCCCGAGAAAGCCAATCTCTTTGAGCCAAAATTCACATTTGGAGAACTTGGCAAAGAGTTGTTTTTCTCTAAGTCGTTCAAGTACAAGCCTCAGGTGATGTTCATGCTCCTCCTCGTTCTTGGAGTATATCAAGATGTCATCAATGAATACTATCACAAATTGATCCAAGTATTCACTAAACACTCGTTTCATCAAGTCCATGAATGCCGCCGGTGCGTTGGTTAACCCGAATGACATTACAAGGAACTCATAATGACCATACCTAGTGCGGAATGCACTCTTAGGTATGTCGCTCTCCTTGATCTTCAACTGATGATACCCCGACCTCAAATCAATCTTCGAGAACACTATTGCCCCCCGAAGTTGGTCAAACAAGTCATCAATCCTCGGTAAGGGATACCTGTTCTTGATTGTGACCTTGTTCAATTGTCGGTAGTCAATACACATTCTTAGTGTACCATCCTTCTTCTTCACGAAGAGTACGGGTGCCCCCCACGGTGAATGACTGGGTCTGATGAATCCGTTGTCCAATAATTCTTGTAGTTGGACCTTCAACTCTTGAAGTTCGGCCGGTGCCATTCGATAAGGAGGAATCGAAATGGGTTTGGTTCCCGGCTCCACTTCAATTACAAATTCAATCTCTCTATTGGGTGGAAGCCCCGGTAGGTCTTTGGGAAAGACATCCGGGTACTTGCACACGACCCGTACATCCTTGATGTCGACTTCTTTCTTCGTATCATCTACCACATAAGCAAGGTATGCGTGACATCCCTTCCTCATCATCTTTCGTGCTCTCATCACGGATATGATACAAGCATTAGATTTCCCCCGATCTCCCTCGAAACATAGCGTGTTCCCTTGATCATCCTCGAGCTCCAACACCTTGGTGTAGCAATCTACCCGGGCATGGTGTTTCTCGAGCCAATCCATCCCTAGGATTGCATCGAACTCCAACATGCTTAGAGGTACGAAATCACAAGTCAAAGGTTGACCCGTCACTTCTACCTCACACGACGGATAGTAATGATTTCTCTCCACGTCGTCTCCTAACGGTGTGGAGACTAGCAACGTTTGAGTCATAGGTGTCAATGGCACGTCAAAGCCCTCGGCGAACGCCTCACTCACAAATGAGCGTTGTGCCCCGGTATCGATGAGGATCCTCGCACATCTACCATTGATCTTTAATGTTCCTACATTTATACACCATGTAAGATACATTTTCTAATGTTTTTACACGTCATTAGGATGTTATTAGGTTTATACAAATGTTTGGAACCAAACGGGGGTCCAAACGTAGAAGAACGGGTCAAAAAATCAACTTTCGGGTGTTGGGGGTCCACGCACGGCGTGCCTGGGTGGCAGGCACGGCCGTGCGTGCAACAAACTCACCCTGCTGGCCACTGCCGGCCAGGCACGATGCCAGGCACGGCGTGCCTGCGGCCGTGCCTGGCCAAAATTTCTTCGGACGCCACTGACTTCCAGGCACGACGCCAGGCACGGCGTGCCTGCGGCCGTGCCTGGCCAAAAATTCTTCGGACGCCACTGACTTCCAGGCACGACGCCAGGCACGGCGTGCCTGGCCAAAAATTTTTCGGACGCCACTGACTTCCAGGCACGACGCCAGGCACGGCGTGCCTGCGGCCGTGCCTGGCCAAAATTTTTTTTTTTTTTTTTTTTTTTTCTTCCTTCGGGTGCCACTGCCTTCCAGGCACGATTCCAGGCACGGCGTGCCTGCGGGCGTGCCTGGCCAGCAGTGGCTGTTTCCAGCCCGATTCGGCCTAACTCACCCGGTTCGACCCCGGGGTGGCCCGCACTCAATCCCAACGACGTATATGATCAAAGTAAACCTAGAAATACATGGGAATACGCGTATTACCTGCAACGGAGTCCGGGTTTGCTCTCGCATCCGCCTCGGTCATCGCGTAGACTCGTGCTTGGGTCCCGCCTTGGTTTACGGACGCGGCATGACTTGTGGATGCGTTGCCTCTTCCCGTACCGCCGTTTGACGGGCCCGCACGGTTTCTTCCCGTCATGGTCCCTCCCCCAGCTCCCGAGGCACTCTCTTGCATCAAATGAGGGCAATTGGCCTTCATATGGCCCGCATTCCCGCACTTAAAACACCTCGGTGGTTCATTGCACTTCCCAAAGTGTTGTTTTGAGCAATTGGGACATCTAGGTGGCCCCGAGTTCTGTGGCCTAGGTCCGTGCCACCTCGCATCCCTATTCTTCTTCGCCGGTGGAGCCGGCGCCTTGAATGAACCACCGCCACCACCACCACCCCCGTGGTTGTTCCTTCGAGAATGATCGGGTGGCCCCGAATTATTCCACTTCCTCTTCTTCGCCTCTTCGGCGTCCCTTGCCTTCCTCTCATTCCACTGGGCCTCTCCAAGCATGCCCTGTTCTACCACCTCACTAAAGGTCATGAGGCGGGAATACGTGGCACGGTCTCGGATGTCCAAGAGTAAGGCATCCCAGAAGTGCTCAGTCATGCGGTCCTCATTGATCGCATACTCCGGTAAGAACCTAGCCAAGGTCCTGAACTCTTGCTCCAGTTGCTTAACTGTGCAACCCTCTTTCTGTTTGAGGTTGGTATACTCCCTCCTTTTCACATTAACCTCGAAATCGGAGTAGTACTGAGCATAAAATTCTTGCTCAAAATTTTCCCATGAGATGTCCCCACGGTATTTCCCTTCTACACCTTCCCACCATGTAGAAGCCATCCCCTCAAGTAGCCGTGAAGCGACAGTTAGCTTCACGTCCGGAGTAATCTGCATGTCTCTCGATGCATCCTTCACCTTCTTGATCCAATCGGCGGCAACGGTAATGTCGCCGGTGCCGTCAAAGGACCTACACCCCAAGGCCCTAGCCTCCTTGAGGTATTTGGAGATTCTTACCACAAAACCTCCTTCATGCCCACCTTGTGGCGCCGCTGGGGTGGCCACGGAAGCTCCCCGACTCCCTTGACCCGAACCACCACGAGAGCCACGCCTTGCTTGGCGCCTAAGGTCTCTCCTCAGCTTTTCTTTTTGATACCACTCAAGCAACTCGCCCATTTGAGCGAACTTGGCATCACTCTCTTCGTCGTCATCATCGGTGTATGTGTCACCCCCATCATACGGGGTCTCCTCATGCTCCGTTTCCGGAACGTAGGTTGAGTCATAGTCCTCGGTGTTGGTTTCATACACCGAGCTTACATGGCCATCACTCACAGTTTGAGCTTGATGACCTCCACGGCTTCCACGGCCTCCACGGCCTCCTCTTGAACCCCGAGATGCAGCCCGGCTTCTCCTTTGGGATGTTACCGGCGCCTGCCCCCTCGGGTTGTTCCTGGTCCGCATTCGCCTGCCCTCCATTTCTGAAAGGAAAATGGATGAGTCATTAGACTCCTATAAATGTGAATGTCAATTGACGGAAGAACGCTACAGACACGTATTGGCCCAAGTCACCACCATACCAATTGTTAAGGGTACCGTCTTAACAATTAGAGGCCTTGCAACTTAAGCTCCAATAGTCCCATAAACGTCAAAATACAATGCCCATGGTTTTCGGTAACAACTCTTTTGTAAAATCTCATGTGAGAGGTTGATTATAAAGTTTAGAACTGAGATGGCTCTGATACCACTTAATTGTCACGCCCCAGACCGCAATCCAAGCGCGTGTACAACCGCCGTATAATCAAGTGACGTCACCCGCGAGTCAACCTCACTTGATTACACAAGGCGTTCGAGAAAAATAATCCATCCATACTCAGTAGTAAACATACATAACAACATCACATTTAAACCAATGAATAGCGGAAATATTCAACGGTAAGTCATAAGCCACAACCGGCCAATAACATGGGCATGCAAGCCCCAAAAGAATAGTTTATAACAGATAAAAATATCCATGAGCAATGTTTGGAAATTTGAAATAAATGAGGAAGCACGAACCACGTCTTCCTTGATTTGATGTCACCCGTAAAAAGGTGCAGGTAGCAAGCCCTAGCTTCAACCTGAAAATGGTGGGGCCCCCCGAAGGGGTCAGTACAAGTACCGAGCGAGTAGCAGGCTAAATATAGAATAACTAGCGTTTCAAGTATAAGACCCAAACATAGGATGATACATATACGTATAGTCCTTCCCCCAAGTTTGAAATACATATTAGTATACATACACTTGGAAATACCCGACCCGTAGGTCATTGTTTATTTGGGAAAATAATAGTAGCCAATGTCCTTGACCTAAATCCCAACCCACCCATATACCTATGAGTGTATAGAACTCCTCCCTGTTCAAATAAATTATCATAAGGACACCGCCCGGTCCTAGATCATTAAATGTAATCTATGAGTTTTGAGGATACACGCCCGATCCTTGGGTACTCCACCCTATAACCGAGTTTTGAGGATACCGCCCGATCCTTGGGTACTCCACCCTATATAACCGAGTTTTGAGGATACCGCCCGATCCTTGGGTACTCCACCCTATATAACCGAGTTTTGAGGATAACCGCCCGATCCTTGGGTACTCCACCCGACCTATGACTTACCACATATCACGCTAGATAGGGTCTATATCATATTTAGTCATTCATAACTAATTCACTACATAAGGCTTATGCATCACAATCCATGCAAATCCATGCAACCATATAAATGTATAATTAACTAACATCAACCGATATTAATTAATCCATTAACCATCGGTCAACGTTGTTGTCGACCGCCATCTCAAATCTTACACTTATTAACTAATTCATCATATAATTAAGTTAATAATATCCATTTGTGCTTCTTTTACTCTTAAAGCAAATATGCATATATATATATATAATTTCTCATATTATATTCCATGCATAAATAATTAATTCCTTTCATACAAAGCTTAACCCTATTGGCTAATCACATGTTTAAATATCTTTTAAACATTATTATGAATTCATATAACATTTATTTAGGTAATCTCATAATTGACCCAAAAGTTATAAGATATTAAGCCGTCCACTCACCTTGAACTAGCGTATGAAGTTCTACCCTTCTTGGTTGAACTCCGGTGAAACTCCGGCGACTTTTGGTCAACTCCGGCGACAATTCCGGCGACTTTTCCAACTTTGTGAAATCACTTGAAACACCCTTTACAAGTTCCTAACAAGGTTTTATAATCATAAAACCCATGTTAATACCAATAACCTCAAAAAGGTTATTTTCCGGTGAACCGGTCGTTTTGGCTTCTAAGTCCGTTCTTGGACATAGAACCACCTTCCAACCCATAAATCCATACTTATAACATGTGGAATCATACTAAGGGTCCTTTACATGATATATACCTCATATGATAGAAGGAAAATAAAGGAAAAGTTATAATAAGGTTATTACCTTAATTTTACACACTTTTCCTAGCCTTTTTCCTTCTTTAATCCCACTCCTTGGACCCTTCTTGGTTGAGCTCGAGTTGCAGCAATGGAGGAGGGTTGGAGAGCTTTTTCTTCCTCTTTCTTGGGGTCTTGGGCGAGCACAATGAGGAGGAAGGAGGGGGGATGGGTTGTTTTTGTCTCATTTAGCTAATAAGTGAGAGAGGGACCCCTTGGGTGTCTCTCAATGTCTCACCCTCCCATCATGTGTACTATTGGCCTTCCTTTGGTCAATTTGAGCACACAAAAACGTGGGGTGGCCCCCACTCATGTGGGAGGTCATCCCTTTGTGTCCCGGTGTGTACAATTGGTCCCGAAAGTTGTATTTTTCGGACTGTTTTAAATATATTTTATTTTATCGGGTCAAATAAAATATATTATGTGCTCTTACTCATTATTACATGTATAATGAATATACATCCCCCAACTTTAATTTATAAGCCTCCGAAATTCAGTTCGGGCTGTTATCTGACAAATTATCGGTACCGGTAATTGGACCTCTTTTTCCCAATCGGTCAACTCTGCGCCTTTCCACGACCCAAATAAAGTATCCACCACTATATAAATATTATCTTGACTAAGATGAATAAAATATGTGGTCTCGGGAGTGTCGGGCGGCCCCCGCTCCCGGTGTGGGTCCCACGTGCAATTTACTATTCACGCGAAAGAAATAATAAAAATTTACAACTTCGTAAATTCGTTAATTCTTTAAGAAGGTTCAATACATTATTTACATAAAAGTAAATATATTTGGGGACGGTGTTACAGAAATTATCTAAAATAATTGAGATTAACATATTTAGCTGAACAAAAAAATTTAATCTATTTAAATCAAGAAGTAACAGATCTTTTTCCTTAATGTGTAGGTGAGTAAAAATATGTTTTTACTTCAACATATGTAGATATTAGATGGCAAAGAGACATTACTAAATTACAAATATGAATTATAAATAATTAGTTAAGTGAGAAGGTAACACTTGTTAATGAAGCAAAAAAGCTTATAACACCAAGCAAGTTCGAAGGCATGAAGATAATGCTACCCAGTGAAAACAAATGCGGAGTATTAAGTTACCAATAAAGTTTAAATAAAAGGAAATATGAAAATGATTTAGCCAATGGATTAAAAAAAGTGTTACGCACACCTTCACACTACCTCCACCATGGTCTTCATGTGGCCATTTTTAAGAGCGTGCACCAATATTCTATATATCAATGTTACTATAATAATTAATCATAGTTTAGACGTTTTAAAACATTACAAATCATTGTTCATTGTTGGTAACCAACAGTCATTGCTTTTGTTAACCTTGTATATGCACAAAGCTGCTAAAGAACTAAGCCAAAAGTTAAAAGATTCACCTTTATTTCTATATTTGTAAAGTTATTCCATTGCGATCATTTATGATCTGCCTTAGATATTAGAATCATATTCACTAGCCAGTTTGAAAGTTACTCCCGCTTCCAATCATCAACCTGGTTTTTATCATCCAAATGTTTCTAAAATTAATCATCAAATACATATTCTAGAATAAATAATAAATACATACTTCGGTGCTCTATGGGTGATCCTAGTTTCTATGTGAAAATAACTTATAAATGCAGAAATTATACATAAAAAGTAATAATAAAAGTCTAGATTTCTTGAAATAGCATCTTCTAAAACATATTGACATCCAACTCCCAAGGAAAATGTAGCTATTGACACAAAAATAGATGTACATAGCTAGATCTGTTATACAGAGTGGATAAAATCAAATTGTGCTTAGAAGAGAACATATACCTAAAGGTAAAACTTCATTAGTTTTCAAGATTATTTAATCTGCATCTTTTGTGACAAAATATAGAGGGCACTTCTATAGAGCAATAACACTGTCGTTAAAGAGACATAACATTTGCTTTTGAAAAGGAAAAGGCACACCTAGGGAGTAGGGATAAAGGGCGTATGCTCTACTTTCCTCAATATTTTCAAACATTCTTCAAAGCAAATCTGAAAAAACAAATAAAGGTGAATATTTGACCACCTCTTATGTTATCCATTCAAAATGCTCAGATATAAAGAAAACACATTTGAATAACGTGTGGTTAGTGATCTTAGATGTTAAAATGTGAGCACACTTTTAATAGTTAGTAGTGCATTAAATCCACAACATACATCTGTCCATATAAGCATTTTATCAAACATGATATGTGCACAAAGGGTGTGAACTTACCAAAGGGTGTGAACTTACCCCACACGTTACATAAATTCAAGCCAATTTCAATAAGAAAGTTTAAATAGGAGTAAATTTTTATGAAAATATAATGAAGAAAGAGTGGAAATTTACCTATAAAGTCCGCATATGTGTTAGTCCGCTTGTCCCGGGTGAACTTCGAAAAGTATTGGCACACAGAAGACTGCTATGAAGTTAACATAGTTCATTTTCCTAAGGGTTTGAAAAGTGTGTGTGTTAGAGGCGGAATTTGAGGGAAATAGGGGAAATTTGAAGACAAGAAGATTATTAAGACTGTGAGATAACGTGTATCCAGAAAGCATTTGTGATTCTAATTACTACATGTTGAATGCAATCCGAAGATAAAGACAGGGGAATCCAGAAAGCTGTTTTGTGATCCTAATTGTTGGTGTAAATCACATAAGAAGGGGATCAGGAAATGACTCTTTCTAGACACATCACACTGAAGGGAAAAGAAAGAATGAGAGCACGGGAATGTATCGGAGAAGGCGGAGCTGAGGCAGTCTCCTCCACGATCTCAGTAATGGAATCGAAGTACTAAAACGTTTAGGCGGCGACATATAGAACACCGTATGAACACTTATATTTTACCTTTAATTGACATGGCATCTCAGTCTTAATTTGCTGTCAATGGAAGATAAATTCAGGTCCTATAAATTCAAAGTTGAACTAGAGCGGATGTGATTTATTCGACCAAAAACTTTCCTAAATGGTGAATGGCTACTTCAAAGTAATATGCTAAGCTGGTGGAGTGGTAGGGTGAAGGGCGTGCGGCTAAGGAGGCAGCTCTCTATGAGGAAAAGGTGTTTCAATGTATCTCGTATCAGGTGCGGGTGAAGGAGGCTAAATTAAGTGAACGGTGCAGATCACAGCTAAATGAACGGTGAAGATGATTTTGTATCGCTATTTAGTATAATGATTTTTGGTATATTAAATGTGTTGGTGTAACACAAAACAATATATTGTTGCACAATATGCTCCCATCATTGTATCACACGTTTTTACTCTTGTTCCTTTGCTAACTCTGTTAAAATTGAAGCGTTCAGTCCCTTGACTTCCTTCATTGTATTTAGCTGTTGATGCCTTGATTTGGTTTTTCCATTTAACATTTTAATTTGATTCCATTCAATTTGGAATTTTAATTTCATTCTTTGTGGTGCCTTAATAGTGATTTAAGCTATATCATCATTCCCAAATAATAATACAAACGGTTGTACCCTGGATACCAGTTGTAGGAACATTGTTGAAAATCAATTTTCTCCCTCATATTCCTTGCTGCAAGAAAGTACGTAAAATATTGATTTGTTTCAATTTTAAGGGTTAAGGTACCAAAGTGAAATAATATCACTAGCTGAGGAACTATTCATGCATTTGATGATTTCAGTCTGAAATTTGCATATGGGTATAAGAGTCCGTTTGGTGACACTGAAATTGGCTGAATTGACTAACTTTGTTGAAATTTATGAAGTTCTAGTTGAAGTTATTGATTTGTTGATTTTGCTGATTTATGAAAAAATATTTAAAATATATAGTGTTTATTTAATGAAATAAAATTTTTCTTTTGAAAAATAGCTAAAATTAAATTGTCTTCTGCACTAACTTAAAAGTAACTCCAATCTCAATTATTTTGATTATTACACAATTTAGTGTACAAAATCAAATTTCGTGTTTGATGAAAAGTTGACTGATAAGTGAAAAAACGGTCAGGACTAAATGAGCTCTAAATATAACATTTTGACTACTGCTGCTTATTTGGTGTACTACTTTTCCATGGAGCGTATATCTTACATCCGTGCGTATGTACACCCGGCACAAATAAGGAAGACAGCCCAACAACTAATACAGGCCGTAAAAAGATCGGTGACATTTTTGTAATTTAAGCGGAAAATCACGGCTTCCGCTAAAAAGCAATAATGTACTTTTAGTGAGCGTCTGACCTATTTTATTGAGTATTAGGAGGCTATCAATGAGTATCACGATCTCTGCTTCATATCTTCTAATTCTTTTTCTTCTTTTTTTTCTTTTATAAAAACTTATTAAATTATATCTATAATCCACTCTTATTAATTTCAATATGTGTGTCTAATGTTATATGATACTTGTTGGGATATTAGGGCATGGCCCAAGATCCGGCCCTAAATATCCCTAAGAAGCCCAATTGTAACAGAGCCCAATAGATACAAATCAGGAACAGGGGAACTGTCGCACGGCCTATTCCCGAACGGCCTGAACATAGCACTTGACAATAAACGGAGGCATGGCAATGGGTCGGGGCGGGGCGGGTATTGCAAGACCCGGACCCGCCCTGTTACTTGGCGGGGCGGGTCCGCCCCGTGACTTGCACGGGTCCAAACTTGTTGACCCATGACCCGCCCCATGCGGGGCGGGGCGGGTCTGCCCCGCCCCGCCGCAACCTAATTAGCTAGTATGTATTTTTATTTGTGGGAAGTTGTTACCAATTGAATCTACATAATGTTTATCTCTAAATAATAATTAAAAACCAATATATTAAATCAAATTCATGATACGCTAAAAATTTCAAAAATTAAGGAAATATTACTCAAACTTGAATAGTTAATCTAATTAGTTATATTAATAATTGAATATATGTATTAAAATTCTATATATAAAGAAGACATTGATATTCCGTCGTGCATCTCATTATAACATATATTCATATATTATAAGATCAAAGAATTTATGATTTATTGTATACACACATATGTATGTTGAAGTATATTTGTAGTATAATTTAAGAAAAAGTATGTATACTTATATATTGAGCGGGTCGGGTCGGGGCGGGACGGGTCGGGGCGGCACGGGTCAATTCTAATACCCGGACCCGCCCCATTGTATTGGCGGGGCGGACCCGCCCCAAATGTCTCGGGCCAGGGCGGGTCATTGCGGGTCGGGTTTTTTTGACATCCCTAAGAGCGCCATCCATGAAGGGTCGGTCCAAGCAGTTGGAGGAAAACCCTGCAAGTTGGCGGGAGGTGCATTTAATGTTAGAAGTATGGGAGATCAAGTGACAAGAAGATCATCTACTTAGAATCGGCCACATCACCCACGTCACCTACTCACTCATACTATAATTACCAGCATTTAATTCATTGTAGAGGGTTAGCATTTTGATATTCACTAACAATATATTACTTTCTATCTCCTATATTAGCAACTAGTCTGAAAGTCTCGTTCGGCCATTTCTTTGTAACCAGTATTTGCATCCTAATACAGTTGGGCTATTGATCCATTTTGTTTGTGGACCTTCACTCTCACTTTATTTCTCTCACAAGTACATTAACGATAATCAAAGGATTGTGTTGGGCCTTTGGACCTAAGGGAATTAACCCGAACAATACTTTTGAAATATGCATTGATATGACATTGTAAAAATGAGCATAACATCAGTACCAAATGAGCATACATAACTTACAAAGTGCACATTGATATGAAAGTCGTAAGGTTTTGTTAGTTGAACATCACGCCATTTTAATTGAGCATCAAACTTCCACTATTGAGATGAAAATTATGGTTTATTGTGAATGAGCATTAATGAGTATAATTATGAAAATCAGAGGGCCTAATCTTTCGGGCTTCTTTTAAATTTACACTTCTGGAGAATAATTATATCTCGAATCTTATGTATCATTATTTGTTATTTTAGAATGGCAAACTGCCTTATTAAAATATTTGACCAAGAATGGCAAACTGCCTTATTAAAGAAAAAGATTAAATATGTTTCTAGTCCATGTAAATATAGTATTTTTTGTTTTGCATCCCTGCATAATTATTTTTTGTTTTTCATCCCTCAAATTTATGTTGATAACACTTTTTCTGAGTAGAGTGATTTCAGAGTTAGACATGGACTAAAAACAAAATAGTGCATATTACATGGATGTAAAACAGAAAAAATATGTGCAAGAACCTAAAACAAATTGTGTCATATTTGTAACGCTTAAAAACGTATTTAAACCAAAGAAAAAAGAGTACATTTATATTTGGTCTTTCAAACCAATCAATTGTGCCACCTCTAAAGGATCAGTTATGACCTTTAGGATACTATCTTCTAAATTAATACGGAGTACTAAAATTACTCTTCTATATACGAAGTATAAGATAATAATCTTCCAAATTTTATGTATTCTTCTCATTCTTTGAAAATCATAAAATACTTTGTTAAAACCTTTCACCAACAACGCCAGTTGGGACAAAACTTGACGAATGAAAAAAACATTGCGCTTTATATATTTATAAAACACGCAATAATTTTTAATAATTCATTTCACTGATTTCGAGTTGAATTTTGAGTTAAAATTTTATGAGAACGATTTACACTTCATGAATATCATGCTTACAAAATTACATTAAAATTTCTCCGGGAAGCACATCAAATGGGCTTGGCCACACGAGCCTCCCGTTCAATCTGGACTGAGGTGAACGGGGACTCTACAAATAGATCAGCTATTTACCAACAACATAATGATGGAGATGGAAGAGAAATACGACTAACATGTTATTTTATTTTTCTTTTTCGGTATATTGTACGTGTGTACACACATGCACTCATATTTAGACATCATTTCCTTTAATCAACTACTTCATTAGTTTTCCAAAAAAAACTACTTCATTTAAAAAACTACTACGTACATTATTTAAAAACATATTCATAAATTATTAACTTCAACTTTGGATTCAACTGAATGAGTAAAATTTGATTCATAAATGATCACAAGAGGATTTGTTTCAATTTCATATTTTCATATGCAATTTAACATTGTAATCTGGAACATTATTTGGCATAGAACAATAATAGCCCATAAAACTTGCTAACCAAAAGAGTTCGAGTGGTCAAATTTGCTTAAATGAGAAATAATAGGGGAAGCAAATGGGCTTGTCATTTTCTTTCTTTTGAAATCCAACTCAAATACATACAATATCTTACAAATGCAAAACTACAACTCCCCATCTATTAGGCTCACTAGAACCAACCGGACAGTTATCTGAGAAAATGAAAAATTGAACTTTGATCATATATCGATGAAAAAAGAGTAATGTTTCATCTCAAGTCATTGTTTGGAGTTGAAACCTAAATCTTTCCCGGAATCAGTCCAATCTTCATAAGTTGTGTCTCTTTTGGTCAACGAACAAGACAAAATTAACAAACAAGGGTCAATCAGGCGGTGGCTCCCAATCCTAGGAAATCATAGAAATGGACTTTATTGTTCATGGGATTGCCTTGATCTGATGATGTCTTCTTCCTACTGTTGCCCACTGACTCTGATGCAGAAACCTGTGATGAGTTTGATGAATCTGATTGACCACCCCACCCCACCGATCTTTCCTTCACACCTTCCACCCTTGACCATGATGATGACCCTGTAACCAAAAATTAACCCAAATGATAATTGTGGACGACCAAGAAAATGGATTTTACCATAACTTTTGACTGTTAAAAGACTTATGAAAATTCGGAGGATAAAGAAAGTGACAATAATGATCATTTACAAAAGCGTTACAAAATACAAACGTGCGCAATCCCGGCCAATTTTCAACACAATCATATCGTTTTCACATTAATGATCATCCATTGTGCCTCTTCAAGTTTTTTAAACGATTTTGTAAATCTTTATTGTTTTTAGAGGAATAATTTATTCGAATAATTTTATTTTTCTGATATGCTTGAAAATTATGGATATAAAAACATAAAAACAGGTGATATATATACGTATATATATACACCTTAAAAAGACATAAAAACACAGTGTACTTGAAGCAGAGTACTCTTTTTAATTTTTTTTAATAATGATTTTTTTTTGTAACAAAAAAAACAGGTGACAGAATGGTTTAACCAGGATCAGATCTCTGTATTGGGGTTTAAAAACCTTAAACTAGATTGGGAAAACTGTCAAATAGGTCTTCGAACTTTCATAAAAAAGTCAATTAAGTCCTTCTATAGGAGACTCTGTTCGGTTGTCGCGATTTGGGCCGGTTCCCGGTGGAATTTGTTGATGAAATTTTTTGAGCATCTTATTCATCAAGTCTAGTTTACTCATACCAAATTTCAGCTAAAAATTTAATCAGGAGCGCATTCAAATTAATTCGAGAACGCAAAAATGCGCAGTTATCTTCAAGAATTAATTTGAATGTGTTCCCGATTGAATTTTTAGCTGAAATTTGGTATGAGTAAACTAGACTTGGTGAATAAGATGCTCAAAAAAATTCATCAAAAAATTCCATTGGGAACTGCCCCAAATCTTGACGGCCGGGCAAAACCTCCTATAGAAGGACTTAATTGACCTTTTTATGAAAGTTCGTGGACCTATTTGACAGTTTTCCCAACTAGATTTAAGATTGTTTTTTTTTTCAGAGAAGTACTGAAGTAAAAAAATTGTCTATGAGCCGGAAATACCTTTAACGGTTCTGATGATTTGAAAGTCCGGCGGAGGCGTCGGATAAAGAGAAAACGTAGCTGCAGGGAGGCAGAGATCAGTGCAAGTCGACGCCGTTTCGTCGCCGGCGGCGAATGCGCCGCACTTAGTATCATCACCCGTGGATTCGTTTCCCGCCGCAGCATTTAAAAATCTAGTTCTGTGATCTCCAACGTCGTTTGATCGCTTCCTCCTCTTACAACCGCTACTACTAGTACTAGCTCTGCTTTCGCCTGAAACAGGGGAACTAAACGGCGGTGGCGGCTGACGGCGGTGGTCCCGGGCGACGAGGACGTGCCAGTGGTTCTTAACGGCGTTATCCGTCCGGCCGGGAAACAGCCGGGAAATCATGGCCCATTTATTGCCGTACATTTTATGCGCCTCGATCAGCATTTCTTCTTCCTCCTCTGTAAAAGCTGTCTTATTCAGCTTCGGATCTAACTGGTTAAACCACCTCAATCTGCAGCTCTTCCCTGTATGGATTCACAAAATCAATACAAAACCAAACCAAGCAAAAAAGTATATAAAAATCAAGCAATCCCCTATGTTGAAGGGAAACCTAAAAATCCCGGAAACAAGAAACGTCATCTAAAAACAACTATTTAGAGAGTTTCTAAAGAGTTTCCGTAAAGTTTCGAGAACGAAAACGTATTTTTTCTCGAGAGTTTTCTGTGCTTCATATGTGATCCCGTATTATGTTGCAGGGAAACGTAAAAATCCCGGACACAAATAAAAAAAAATATATTCTTTCCCGAGAATTTCCGTGCTTCATAAGTGACTTCAACGAGTACCTGATCGTCCGTGAAGATGTTGCGCAATGAAATTCCAGTTGTGGGGGCCGTGGAGAGCGACAAGCTCTTTGAGCTTGGCATCTTCGTGGGGCTTCCAATGGCTTCTCGTGCAGAAGCCGGGGTGGTTTCCTCTGGCCGCCGCCATGCCGTCGGGAAAAGAAGGATTGGCATCGGTTTTAGTTTGGGAAATGAGTTGGAGTAGGTGAGTGGGAGGAGGATGAAAATGGTCAATATTCATATTTGGTGAATCTAATCTAAACCCAAAATATGGACCCCAAAGTTTTGGTGAGTTGTAAGAGGAAATAGAGTCGATCAGTGAGGCATTTCTTTTCCTTTTATATACTAGTACAAAAAAATAGTCCGTACTATAAAAAAATAGGGAAAGTTCCCGAAATAGGATTAAAACAGTTTGAAAATTCCAAAATATGACTGACATATTTTTTATTCCCAAAATAGGAGTAATTATTGCTAAGTTTGGAAAATACTGCCATGTTTGAAGTCTGGTACTGCCAAAACATGACAGTAATTAGTCCTATTTTGGGAATAAAAACATGACAGTCCTATTTTGGAATTTTCAAACATTTTTAGTCCCATTTTGGGTAATATCTCTAAAAAATACATAAAATACAATTTAACGTACTCGTGACCAATGAGTACAACGTTAAAGTGAGGGAAATATGGGTATTTCAGGGAAATACATAAATAAGTTTTTTAAGATTCGAATTGTTTCTCGGGTTTCCAATTCGAATCAGCTCGGAAAAACCTCCATATTCCACAAATTGAGACCTTTTAGTTTTCTTTTTTTCATTTTTAAAAGTATATATGACTCATTGAAAAAATATATATATTCTTTCGCTATATTTATTATGTATATGCGAATTTATTTGAGGGAAATTCATATTAATTCATGTCAATTTTTACCAGCTTAAAAATACTTTTGGGTAGATCACTTATAAATGTCTGTTTCACACCATTATCCTGTATTATTCATGACATTAGGTGAGAAACTGAATCCCCCTTCTTTTTACATGTGAACAGTCAACAACATCAAATTGAGCGCAAAAAGAAAAATATCATCCAAGAAATTTTTTAATGGAATGTTGGCTTCCTTTCTTGAGGAAACTACCTTAATGAAACTTAGCGTGTCGCTTTCACGTACAATTTTCCTCGATCCCGCCAGGTGTGCTCTTTGTAGTGCTTATGCCCCGGCTACACATTCTGCCATCTCCGCCTCCTATTTCACATCGAATCATTTGACTCCTGCCATCACTAGTCTGCCATGTTCATCTAAAAGATTAGGGCTCCATGTGCCACACCTCTTGTGACGTAGCTAGGGGATGGCCAACTCTGGCCCGACAAAAAAACATTCTTTGTACTGACACAGTCTGGTCCAGTGCCCTGACTTCACCCATGCACACCTCCTCCTCCTTTGAAAATAACTGCATCTAGGTCTGCACATCGGCGGTTTGGGTCGGGTTTGCTATATTTTTTGGGTCTACCCAATTTATTTGGGTTGGCTATTTACCAACCCGCGATATGAAATATAAGTTGGTAAAACATGCATGAACGAGTCGGGTAGGGTCGGGTATTGAAAGGAGTTTATTTCGGATTGAATCTTTAATTAATATGGGAAACTAATGCATGCAATATGAATCTCGGTTAACTTGTTACCAACATACATAAACAAATACAAGTACTTTTTATAAGAGTAAACTTAGGGCAATAGTATCAAAACATTCTTGCGTAAAGGAAATTAATTTAATTAGAAGCAAATGCATATGTGTGTGTACCACTCACCTAATCAAAATGGTAAATGTTTATAATGCTAAAATCATAGTCTTAGATAGAGCACATTATAGTCTTAGATAGAGCACATTGATCTTATATAGAAAATGTCCAACTAAACTTTGTAGCATAATAATATATTGAACTTTCGGCTGGGTCGGGTACTATCGGGTTTAAAATTTTAATTCCACAACCCTACCCATTAGGTGCGGGTTCGTACATATTTAACCCGTGAATATTTTTAAAAATCAAATACCCGATTAAATGTGATCGGGTAGGGTTGGGTCGGACGGATTATGCGGGTTCGGGTTATTCTTGTGCAGCCCTAGCTGCATCTTCACTATCTTACAACACTTTGTTGTTTCTCAAATCAAACACACTCTTTTGTATACTTACATGGACTCTCATTAGTCTCATGTACTCTAGCAAGTAGCCTCCTTTGCTTTTTATTGGCACAGTGATATCATCGCTTATCACTCCCAACCAAATGCCAGAAAACTACCCGTATCATCGGTTCATGAGCCAAGGGTTCACTCTTTTTTAATTTCAAATATAAATTACAGCTCACATTTAATTAGTGATGATTATTTCGTTGCTATCAACAAATAATTTGATGACGGTAAAGTGTTTAAGCAAATGAATCTCTCAGTTTTTTTCCTTATTCCTAAGAAGAACCACCAATTTACGGTTTCTAACTTTAGATTAATTGCATGAAAAGTGCCGCCTCCTAGGGTTTTTCAAGGGGCGTGTGTCCGGCGACGATCGTTTGGTCGTGATGCGAGTTTGGATTTTGCGTCTGTTAGTTGCTGACCTCGGCATATCAGATCGTTTTTTTGTTTCTTTTTTGGGATTGGGGTCATCGACCATCGTTTGAGATCTGTCTTGGTTGATTCGAGCAAGACATTTGTTGGTTGGTTTGATTGTGCCCGAGGTGTTCGGTCTCGACAATGAGCAGGTTCGGAGTTTCTGGCAGAAGGTTAGAGCAACAGTTTTGCATGGATAGCTTCATGTACAAATACAAGAAGATGGTGAATGGGGCAGAGGAGGAAGAACTAGATCTAGATGAAGTTGAAGTTGAGGTTGTGGCGGATGAACGGCGGGCGCGTCCCGCTCCTGAGCCGCCGTCTTGGAGTGCAAGCAAATCTAGGGTTTGGAAGAAGACTTATCTTATTTGTTTTGTTTGTTTTTCTAGTGATTTCTATGTATGTTTTGTCATTTGCTTTTTCTTTATTGTTCCTGTTAGTAAGTCGTTGGATTTGGATGTGGGGGATGAGAGGAATACTGTAACTGTTTTTGGCTTTGGTGCTCCCATTTATGGATCAGCGAATTATATTGCTTCTCTGGAGGTGATTAATTCCGAGTCTGGTTCGCGGGATGACGGTTGTCAGATTTCTTTTTGTCGATTTACCCATACTCTGAATTATGTGTTATCAATATAAGCCGAATTCTTCCAAAAAAAAGTTTAGATTAATTTGCATGAATCAATGTAACATATAAATGTAACACCAAAACCTAATCCGCTAAATTGGATCTGGTTTAAGCATATGTTGTGGACAGTGGCAGAGCCACTTTAGTGCAAAAGTATTCACTTGAACACCTAGTTTTTTGCAAAAATTGTTAGTATACATGTATAATTTTAGTTTGATTAGTTATTGTCTTTTTAAATTTTAGTTTTAGAAACAAATGAACACCCAAAGTTTAAATGATAGATCCACCACTGGTTGTGGACTTTTCTCAAGCAGCTTTTGATAAAGATATTACTACAAATTGTAGTGTCTTTGTACCTCAAAATCTTGTTCGAATGTACGCAAAGAAAGACATAAGTGGCGGATTTTGAATTTTCATTTTGGGTGTTCATTTTTTTACAATTAAGAATTCAAAGAACAATAAATGATTACATTAAATTTACTCATTTATACCTAAATATTTTCAAATTTTTGAGTGGTAATGTGAACACTTTTGAAGAATGATGGCTCCGCGCCAACCCCTACGAGCTACCTTCCCTCCACTCATGCCACTACCGTACTCCCACTCTCGCTTGAAGTTCCAAGATGAAGGGGAAGGGAGAGACTCTGAAAGAAAAGAACCCAGTTGAAGAAAGAAAGAAAGAAAGAAAGAAAGAAAGAAAGAAAGAAAGAAAGAAAGAAAGAAAGAAAGAAAGAAAGAAAGAAAGAAAGAAAGAAAGAAAGAAAGAAAGAAAGAAAGAAAGAAAGAAAGAAAGAAAGAAAGAAAGAAAGAAAGAAAGAAAGAAAGAAAGAAAGAAAGAAAGAAAGAAAGAAAGAAAGAAAGAAAGAAAGAAAGAAAGAAAGAAAGAAAGAAAGAAAGAAAGAAAGAATGAAAGAACCACTTAGACCGGCCACATAAGCAAGTAACCGGCTAACCGAGCGTTAAGGGTCTAAATTAAAATTTTGAACGTTTTTGTAACTTCCAGGGTCTGATTGAGTGTTTTTTAGTTTGAAGACTTAATTGATTTTTTTATACAAATCGAGGCATATTTAATAGTTTTCCCTATATATAATGATATTATCTAAATATATTCTAAATAATAGAATCGGTTATGTTTCTATACTGTTTTAATTTACATACTATATACGTAGTAACATTTTGTCTTGATCAAATTGTGTCAAGTAATAATGTTTTATTATGAATACAACGTATTTGTCAAACTTATAATAGTACACGACACTTTATAAAACATTAGTATTAATGGATGCATGTATGTACGCATGCAATAATTTTTTATATAACTTCTCATTAAATGAATAAATTGATGAAACTTCTTATTTTATTTTATGTAAGAAACCAAATAGCAAAATATGATCCTTGAGACACGCTTCATACTTCATAGTATAAAGAAGTCTAAACTGAAGAATCAGGGTTGGAATGGGGATGCTGGACTGCATCAATTGTAATCTTTTAGGATTGAAATACTATAAGAAGATGGAACCCCATTTCATCATGTTGCTTATCCTACTTGTTGGAGCTAATTTATTCACATCATCTCAAGGTTAATATTATCTTTCTTTAATCAATTAATTTAATGGTATAATAATCTACATGTAGACTAACATTCAAATATTTTTCCTGTAATTACTCACCATTTACTCAATACTTGATCCTATTTTAATTATTTAATAAGTTGTCCCGTGAAACCAAACCTATATATCTCTCCATTATACGTACACTTTAAAAATGAACAAAATCAAGCTTGGAATTCTAATTTTAACTATGTTAAAATATCCGCCTTTTGCATGAGAATTGAGACCCTCCATTATTCACTGCAAAAAATCACATTTTAGTCTATTAGAAATATGATACTCGTAATTTTTTGTACGAACCACTTGGTTAGAGAAAAACAGCATAAAACTCAGTTTGAATTTTTAGTTCTGTTTTTTTTTTAATTTTAGTTCTAAACATTATATTCAGCTTGTTAATGATTTTAATAATTTGTTATTGTTGTTTCTTTTATTTTGGAATGCAGGAGTCTCAAACTATGATTACTCAGCTCCCATAGAAGTAAC